AACTGGGATGTGGCTTGAGCGCTAGTTGGGTGGTCAGCCCAACCCAGACGCTCCAGCAGCACCAACCACATAACAGCCCCGGAAACTCCAAAGTTGCTAACTAAGAAGCCAGTTTTATTTTATTTAATTTTCTTAAGCATTCTATTTCCAGTCACTACTACCAAGAGGTAGAAAATGTGCTGATTTCTTGCATTACTTCACATTAGCCTTTTATATAAGGTGACTTTATATAAAATGCATGTACACTTGAGGGTTTTGTGAACCCAGCATTTTCCTAGAACACTGATTGAAATGACTAAAAATAATCTTTAATTTCTGCACATGTTTAGAAATTGGAATAAAACATCTAAAGAGCTAATGGCTAGTTTACTTTCATCAGTTTAATTCTAAATATTTTGAATAGAATTTTAGACTTAGAATATCTTATCATTTTCAATTAGTCTGCAAAATTTAGATTTCATGAAATGTTGCCCCTCTTTTTGATATCACAAGTTTGGGAGTTCATCATATTTTAAGCATTTCAAAGTTTTCAAAATTGATTTGGAAATTTAAATTTATAATGTACGAATTGCCTTTTACATCCATTCATGCATAGTGATAATTTGGCTTTTGATCATTAAATGAAAATCCTGGCTTGCTTAGTTAGTTACTATGGCCCATTATGTGGAATTTAGCACTCATACCCATTTTTTTATTTTGGTCATTCAGCTTTCTGTTAGAGAATACTTCTTTGATGTGTAAGAAGTGTGGAATAAAAAAATGCCCATTACTTTTTGTTGTTTGTTGTTATAATTAAATATCTCTGGCTTAGAAGTTTTTATTTTCAGAAACATACATAGTAACTACTTGACATGAGATGGAATTATTAAGTGCGTAAAAATGTGCTTGTCAAAAATTATTTTCACATAAGAAAGCATAGAAAAGGATTTTATGACATCTTTTCAAAGCTGGGTAGCTGCTTTTTAATTTTCTAGATGTTGGCAGACTGAACCAAAGCAGTGGGGCCCATGGTTCTCCACCTCTGGGTACCTTTCCCTCCTCCTCCTCCCTTGACCTTGTGCCCTTTGGGGCACTGCCTAATCAACATAGCCCTAGGGAAGGACTTCTATCCCCCTCCCCCAAACCCCCCTTCTCTCAGCAGATTTCCCAATAAGCAGACAATTAAAACATAATCTTTCTTTCTTTCTTTCCATGATTCAAAGCTAAATCAAAAGTGATTAAAATTCTAAAAGCAAGTATTGCAGTATGGATAATTCATACACAGCACAACCTCCATTCAGTCCGGCTTATTGCTTTTCCTCTACGAAACAGAAGGTGTGGAGTTAGCAGCAGTTCGGAGGATGCTGGCTTGTGGACCACCTCTGTAGACCATACAGCAACAGCATGCAGCTTGGGGTGCACATGCACGCCCTTCCCAGGCCAGAGGGTAAACTAGAGAGCCCTATGGCCAAGAAGAGTGCCCTAGTTCAATGACCTAGCAGCTTGCTCAGCTTCTCCCAACCTGACCTCAGCAGCCTCTCTCCTGAACAGATTCATTTCCCAGGATCCCCCATCTCACCTGAATTTCCGCAATGATCCTCTAGCTGGTGCTCCTGACACCTTGACGTTTCGGCCAGAAGGACTTTTCCAGACACCGGTCAGATCAGGCCACTTGCTTGCTGAAGTTTTTGAAGTGGCATCACCTGGAGGGTAAAATTTTAGAAGTGATGTAAGAGTCTATTGACTATAAGTGCCTGTTAGTCTGGCTTCTCTCTCTACAGCTCCACACACACCCTAGGCTCCAGATGCATCTGAAGCCTGAAGTTTTGTAAAATTACAGCCAGGCTTGGGCCATCATCCTCTAGTATCTGGAGTTCCTGCAGCTTGGGATTCTCTTTCCCGCTATTTGGCCTAACTCCTACGCATAAGCCAAAACCTGCTCCAGCATGGCCTCCAGTCTTCCCTGGAGTCCTCTTCCAGTCTTCACACATCTTCTCACGCAGCACAGACCTTCTGTATTTACATTGGTCTGAATCTACTTCATGGAAGTCACAGGTGTCCTTGGTCTCTGCATTTATGCGTAGTCCAGTGCCTGACCCTTACTAGAAGCTCACTCAGCATTTCCTGAATGAGTGAGTCATTCAAGTCAGAAACTATATCAGTGGGCTTCAGTCTCTCTCTTAGCTTGGAACAATTTGTTCAGGAAGCTGTCTCTTGGGGGTATGTAGATCACAAGATCTACTAGATTTCTTTTTGTGTATGTGGGCCTGAAAAACTAAAAAGACCATCTGAAAAGCAATTTAAGTAGACCTTAGGACGAAAAGACACCCAGAATGTTCAACTGCCAGTGGTTCTGGTCATGGAAGATGTGGAGTATCATTAATCACTGTGATGAAAGCTAAAAGTAAAGAAGTGATGTGGTAATGTATAAAAATTAATTGAGGGGCTGGTGCTGTGGTGCAGCACGTTAAAACCCTGGCCTGAAGCAGTGGCATCCCATAGAGTGCCACTTTGAGTCCTGGCTGCTCCACTGCCCTTCCAGCTCCATGCTAATGTGCCTGGGAAGGCAGCAGAGGATGTACATGCATATGGAAGACCTGGAAGAAGCTCCTGGCTCCTGGCTTCAGATCGGCTCAGCTTTGGGGATTGTGGCCATTTGGGGAGTGAACCAGTGGATGGAAGACCTCTCTCTTTCTCTCTGTCTCTCCCTTTCTCTGTAATTCTGTCTTTCAAATAAATAAAAATAAATCTTAAAAATAAAATAAAAAATTAACAAGTAAAATTAATGAAATATTTCCCATTAAGTTATAATCAGGAATAAAAAGTTCTGGAAAAAATGATCAATAAAAGAAAGATGCCAATTAATTGTTCTGGAGGGTGAAGGTATTGGGTAATCATTCTTCCTGAACATTTGTGCATCTAGACAAATTACGTGATTTCCAATAAGTGAAAAGCTGTCACTGTTGTTTTTCTAGTCTCTTTTTTTGTGAGTTGTCTAAACACAAGTACGCCTTGGGAGCAAGACAGAGGAGCATGGAAGCCATATGAGAAAACAAACTGTGAAGTGTGAGCGAAGGTCAGATGAACACCATGGCAGGGCATGGATTTTCTATTTGCTCTCTGAGGGGTGTTAGCTAATGGTTTCTTCCAGGCCTCAATTCCTTATAGGACCTGGACCCTCTGAACATCCCAGGACTCCCCTGGTCCCACCACACAAGTCCTGAGCCTGAGTCACACTCAACCCGCCTCCCAGCCACCTCATCTGTTTGCTTCCATAATTTAGAAGCTTTTTTTTTTTTTTTTTGGCAACTTTCCATTCTAGTCCTGGGGAAGGGTCATTTCCTTAAGTCTCTAAAACCACCCTGCTGGCCCCTAATCAGGGTCTGTCAATATCAGCCTACAACGCAGCCGGAGTCAACTTGGTTCATTCAGGTCTTTGGTTTGCTCGTTGTCTGCAGCGTTCCGGTCACTGTGCTTTAGAGTCTAGTGCTGGAGACAGCCTTGTAGATAACTTTAGACCAATGTCACCTGTGCCATTATCGTAGCATGGCTTGAAGTGGAATTTATATGAATGCGGCTGTGGAAAGGGGATGGTCCAGAAAGACCTTACAGAAGAGGTGAATGAATATCTAGGCCATGTGTCTGAGAACAAGCATAGAGAGCTCTGCAGGCAGATGAATTAGGGAAGAGATTACAGGGAGAAAGGAAGGCATGGGCGGAGACTCTAAGGTGCGAAACAATGGGGGATAGTGTGAGGCACAGGAGTACAGTGCAAGCAAGCAGGAGGCATTTAAAAGGAAGGATGGAGAAATAGACAGAGGGCAGAGCAGAAGGATGATCCCAGATTAAGACATTGAACTTGACGTTGAAGTTAACCTGAAGCCAGTAGAACACTGAGTGCGATTGTGTGTCCTGGTCATATTCATTTTAGTTTAGAAATTCATGTGGCAGACGGGCCTGAGGGATGTGAGTCCACAGGCAGCAAGCATTGTGGCAGTCACACAGCACCTGCGTAGTGCAAATCTAGCCCGGCGGCCCAGAGCTTTTGGTATTTGTCCTCCTGCTGGGTGTGACCATCTCAATAACAAGGATATGTTTCCCCAGTGTCTACTACACAACTGACATGTGGTAGGTATATGAGCACAGCAGGAAAAAAAAAAAAAAAAACTCGTTTATTTTCTAAACCTGGTCTTTTACTCTACTAGATTATGATGAGAGTATCTTATTGTACAGTTATTTTGAATTCTTTTTGATGATCCTGTTTGTGTTGAAATTGCCACAACGATTTAATTGTGAGTCTCAATCAAGAAATTAAGAGGATATGTGGTGCCTAAAAAATAAGATTGATTGTTCACATTGGTTTGCTCTGTTTTCATATGTGCACAAATACATGTTATCAACTGAAATAATCAGGCTTAAGTAAAAAGGAGAGATTTATTTCAAGAAATAATCTATAGACTGGGGAAGAGGCAGCCTCTACAAAAAGAAAGTGTCCAGAAGGAAGAAAGGAAGGGGATTTCTTGGTAGTTTTTCAGATTTATTTGAGAGAGAGTGAGAGAGAGTTCCCATCTGCTAGTTTTCTTCTCAAATGCCCACAAGGGTCCGGTCTCCCATGTGGGTGGTAGGGACTCATCTTCTCCAGTCATTGCTGCTGCCTTTCTCCTCCTGGGGTTTGCATGAATCAGGATCCAGAGCAAGGTATTGAATGCAGGCACTTTACTGTGGGAGGCAGCCATCCTAGTCTGCAGCTGAACTGTTGGGCTAAGACAAATTTTCCCTCTCCAGGTCTTCCTATGCAAATGAAAGATCCAAACTTGCTCATCTCTGATTCACTGTGGCAAATCAAGTATTGTGAGCTGCTCACATAGATTCTTGACCACATGCTGTAGTCCTTCAGTCAGGTCCCAGGGACCAAAAGAGATTTTCTGGAGGTGGTGGATCTCAGCAGCTGGAAAGGAACGTCCAGGCAAAGGCTTTAAAGGGGTTAACATCCACATACAGGAGGCATGGGGAAGCACAACTGATGTTTTAAATTTTTACTTAAATTTATTTTTACTTAAAAGGCAGAGGTATGGAGGCAGGCAGACAGACAGACACAGAGAGAAATCTTCCGTCAGTTGGTTCACTCCCCAAATGCCTGCAAAGGCTGGTGCTGGGCCAGGCTGGCGCTAGAAGCTGGAAACTCAGTGCAGGTCTCCCACATGGGCAGCAGGAATCCAAGTACTGGGGCCATCCCCTGCTGCGTCACAGGGTGCCCATTGGCAGGAAGCTGGAATCACAAGCAGAACTGAGACTGAAACCCAAGCACTTTGGGATGTGGGATGCTGAGATCCCAAGCGCTTTTTCAAAAGCGGTGCCAAACCCCTGCCCTGAGGTGCGATTTTCGTTAATCAGATGGAGTTGCATAACCATGTGCCTTCTTATGTTGTAATGTCTTTCCAGGACATTCACGGTAAGACCTGAGGCAGCAGTTTTCTGTCTCTTTCTTTGTAATTGCCTTTACCAGCTGTACTGTGACCTTGGGCTTAGGTAATAATTTGCTGTTTTTTTTTTCTTTAATTTTGCCTAGAGAGTCCATCTTAATGACAAGGACTTCCATGACCAAATTCTGCAGTAAATACTCCATATATGGAGTATATATGATAGAAGTAGATAATTTACTCTACTTTGGCCTTCAGTATGAAAAAAATCCAATATTTCTCTCTGAACTTGACTTTTCCCTTAGTAAAGGCAATACATGCATACACCTCAATATATTTCTTATTCTATTTTTGTTGTGCAAAGTCACACATACAACCAGTTTGTGTGAACAACTAAAACAAAATAAACTCACCGTGGATTAGCTCTTTTCCTATCCCCAATTGAAGTTAGAGGTGAGTTCCGTAGCTTTTCATTCATGTGGAGATGATACGAGAACGTCTCCAGTCACTTACAGTAGGAATCTCGTGTCAGTAATTAGAGTGACCAGTGTGTACCGGAGTCAGCAGTCCCAATTTCTTGTGTGGTTAAAATTTATGGTTCCCACCCCTTGGTTGTGCTGCTGCTGAGAAAATGGCTTCCTATCTCCTTAGTCTCCAGCTCTGGGGTCTCCACCCTTCCTTGGTGGAGAAGGAGGGAGGTACATAAGGGGCAGGTGTGCTGTGATGCCAGTTGACCTGTTGTGTACACAGCCGACTTAGGGGGCACTCCTGAGGGTTCTGCAGAGCTCCCCTCACCAGAACCCCATCTAATCTCCTCTCTTCTGCTGGATTGTTTTAACTGGTCCTCAGCTTCTACATCAGTCAATACTGCATGCCTCTTCCCTAGGAGGGAAAACACATACATACAAAACCACGGTCATCTCCTTTCTACAGAGCCTGCATTTGTTCCACAGAACATGAGCCTCTGCTGCACCATTAGTGGAAATGCAGCTGGCTCCAAGTTCAGCTGTGTCTCTTCTCATAGTCTCTAGGTGGACAGTTAGGCTCTTTTGCCTGACATTTCTCAAAGAGAGATTAACCACATATCCCTCTGTCCTCCCAACTTTAGAGAATGAGCTTGAAGCTCCCGGCGAGGTACTCTCAACTATTGATCATAGATGAGGGAGATGAAAAATTGCCACAACTTCCAACATTTTTCTCTGCACAGATTCTTATGTTTTTCCTTCTCCCCAGTTTCAAGCCTTTGAGAGCATCCAGAGAGATGAGTCCCTGGGCAGTCTTAGTCCATCCACCCCCTTCTAAATCCTGGCCAGCACGGCCAGGGTCTCAGTGCAGAATGCGAGGAAAGTTACTGCCTATGGTTTTGCTCTTGTGTAAATCATGGCAATAAAGCAGAATAAAACTAATAATAATACTAATAATAAACTAATAATAATACTAATAATAATACTATGCATGATCTTTTTGTATCATTTAAGAAATAAAGAAATTAATCAATTCAGCAAATATTGCTTACCAGCTCCCAAATGCTAATGTCATCCTAGGTGCTTGATGCACCAGAATTAAGCACGTGGCTTCTTTCTTCACGGAACCAGCTGTCTAGTGAGAGAATCATCTACTAAAATACGCCTGAAACTCATCCCAAGATAACCATGCCTCACAGCAATGAGCTCCACCAAGGAGGAAGGCCACATGGAAAAGGGAGTACCTGAATGGAAGAAATCCCGAAAGTAGGATCTTGAGTGAAGAAAGGAATTCCCTGGGGAGCAAGGAAGCAAAGTCAGTCCAGATGCGTAGTGGGCTGTGTGAAGGGGAGAAGCAAGGCTCCTGTGGGGTGGGGTGGGGTGGGGTGGTGTGGAGGGGGAAGCAGCTGGTGCACAGGGCAGGTGTAATGACGAGTGACGTGCGGATTACAATGCCTGGTATGCCAGAGTCTAAACTTCATGCAGGCAATGGAAATGACAGCTGTGATGGTTTTGCTTTTCAAGTGTTTAAGATGCTCTACCGCTGGCGCTGCTGCTCACTAGGCTAATCCTCCGCCTTGCGGCGCTGGCACACCGGGTTCTAGTCCCAGTCGGGGCGCCGGATTCTGTCCCGGTTGCCCCTCTTCCAGGCCAGCTCTCTGCTGTGGCCCGGGAAGGCAGTGGAGGATGGCCCAAGTGCTTGGGCCCTGCACCCTATGGGAGACCAGGAGAAGCACCTGGCTCCTGCCATCGGATCAGCGCGGTGCGCCGGCCGCGACGGCCATTGGAGGGTGAACCAGCGGCAAAATGAAGACCTTTCTCTCTGTCTCTCTCTCTCACTGTCCACTCTGCCTGTCCAAAAAAAAAAAAAAATGCTCTACCTATATCCTGTATCAGCATAAGTAAAGCTGCTCATGTCCTACACACTGTCTTCCCTTCTCTAACTGGTGCCTCCTTCTCACTCTTCTGTTTCCTTCCCATTTTCGCATCCTTTTCTACCCTCATCAATTCATGTTCACCCCATTCATACTTATTCTTTGTTTTCTCCTTGGTTATATTATTGTGTTCAAGTGTTCAGTATATGTACATGTTCAGTTTCCATATGCAGAGCTTTCTTGGGGGGTCACTGTTTGCTTCTTTGGTTAGTACTTTGCATTTTTTTTGGCATCTTGCTTTTTTACTCAATAATCTTTAGAGAAATTGTCCCCAAGTCAACAAGGATGTCTTATTGCAGGTTTTAAAATAGAGTGTTGACATGATAAGAACGTTATATCTGACATAGGTTGTTGGAGCGGATGATGAGATTAAAAGGGTGTGGAAACCAGAGTAAGAAGATAAATTGAGAGATTAATCGGGTAACATATTGGGCCCTGAGCCAGTGCATTCAGTTCTGGCATAAGCCTGTCTTTAGCACATGTAAGCCTCAAATACAAATGGAAATGCTACGAAACAAGTTACAATAAAATGCCAATACTTACCACTCTCTGGCCAAAATTTTGGCCTTGGATTCTCTAAGTGTATGCTTAGGGAAACAGGTTCACAATTTTAGCATCAGTCAGGAGGAGTTGAGAGAAATCTACATTTTTCCTCCATACACATCCACATTTTTCCACTTTTGCCTTTATTCATCCCATTTTCCTGCAGAATATCCCTGATCTCACACTTGCTTTGACACTCAAATGGCTAAGTCGCTTGGCAGTTGAGTTTAGAATTCATGCCTATATCGTCTTTGAATTACAGTGATATTTCTCATCTTCTAGTAGCCCTCTAATCTTTCCTGGGGTTGCTCAGTCTTGAATGTGATGATACCACGTTTTACACATACTGCAGTTAATGCAGTCATGCTGTACATTACTGCTTTCAACTAGTGGTCTTACCATGTTGTAGCGTAAGTTTTCATTTTCAAAAAAGATTTTATTTACTTATTTGAAAAGTAGAGTTACAGAAAGAGACAGAGAGAGAGAGAGACAGAGAGACAGCACAAGATCTTCTACTCGCTGGCTCACTCCCCAGATGGCTGTGACAGCCGGGGGTGGGCCAGGCTGAAGCCAGGAGGAAGGAGCTTCTTCTGAGTCTCCCACATGAGCCCAAACACTTTGGCCATCTTTTTCTGATTTCCCAGGCAAATTAGCAGGGAGCTGGATCGGAAGTGCAGAAGCCATGACTTACACTGGCACCCATATGAGATGCCAGCATTACAGGCAATGGCTTAACTCCATGAGTTTTTAAAAAATATTTCTATGTGTCTTGTCAATATCCAAGCTGAATAAATATTGCATTGGATCATGGAGTATATTATTACCAGTCTCGTTAAACAGTGCTGGTATTCTTTAAATATAATCCTGTTTATCATAATCATGATAATGGTAGCATGACCTTCTCCAACCTTCTGCATCCCAAGTGACATTTGCAACCTCATTGCAGCCAGTAATTTGTTATTAATCACAAAGCACCCATGATTCTAAAAATTTAATTGTCTCAGAGATTAATTTTCAAATGTAAATGTCTCAGAAAAATACATAGAATAATAGAACACCCATTGCCAGAACTAACAACTATTAGAATTTCATTGTATTCATTTCCCATTAACCACCATTGCTGGTCTCATTCTACTCTTCCTGTCTCTACAGATATTATCTATTATGGATTCAGTACATATCTCTCTTGTTCATTTTTATTGTTATACTATATCTATTATAAATAATTTATAGCTTTTTTGTTTTAAGATGTTAAGATGTTTATATTAGTTGCACTATTACATTTATCATTTTACATTCTTTCCTTCCTTTCTCTCTCTGTGTATACATATATATGCATATATATGTGTATATCTACTTTCTTTCTTTGCATTTATTTTTCAAGATTTATTTATTTGAAAGAGTTACAGAGAGAGGTAGACACACACACACACACACACAGGTCTTTCATCCACTGGTTCACTCCCTAAATGACTGCAATGGCTGGAAGCTGGGCCAATCCGAAGCCAGGAGCCAGGAGCTTCTTCCGGGCCTGCACGTGGGTGCAGGGGCCCAAGGACTTGGGCCATTTTCTACTGCTTTCGGCTTCTTTCCCAGGTGCGTTAGCCTGGCACTGGATCAGAACTGGAGCAGCCGGGACCCGAAGCTGCGTCCATATGGGATGCAGGCCCTGCAGGCCTGGGCTTTAACCCACTGTGCAACAGTGCCAGCCACTGCGTTTAAATTTTTTTTTTTTTTATTTATTTAGAACTGGCTATATATAACTAAAGCTCTTTTGGTAGGACTAGGGAACACAGGGAATACACATGTTTGGGTATCTGGGAGTGTGTTCTAAAATCATCCCCGAATGTTATGGATGAAGATTCATGGTTGAAGCCTTGATGGTCAATGTGAGGGTATTGGGAAGTAGGGCTTCTGGGTAGTAATTCGATTTAGATGAGGTCAGAGAGTGGCCCACTCATCATAGGATTAGGGTATCAGAAGAGAACGAGAAAGGGTATCTCTCTCTCACTTTCTCTGTCTCCTTCTCCCTCTCCTCTCTCCGTAAGCCCAAAGAAGGGCTTATGTGAGCATGCTGTGAGACTGCATGCATCCACCACCCCGAGTTTTCGCTTCTCAGCCTCCAAAACTGAAGAAATCAATGTCTGCTGTTTAATCCACCCAGCCTATGGTATTCTGCTACAGCAGCCTAAGCCAAGGCAACCAGGAGTTAGAATGCCTGCATTATCGCATATGCCCATTTTCCACTTGAAAGTCAAGGCCATGCTGCTAAGTTGCTTCTCAAAGTAGCTGTGCCAATTTGCACTCTTGGTTTGTAAAGATATCTATTAGTTGGTATTGCTTTTCATTAATAAGCTAAATATATTTAAATTTGGATTCTGTTGATGAGTCTATGCATTTATGTCTATTGTCGCTCCCCCTCTTCGCGGAGGAACAACACAGGACCCTGCGCTGTTCTTTTGTCTGCTCGGCCCTTCCCGGGTTTGCTGCTGGTTCTTCCTGGGTTGGCTGCCGACCTTCCACCTCCATGGAAGGGCGGCTCCCCCTGCCACTTTCCCCACTTCCGCGGGGGAGCGGCACACCGCCGGCCTGCTCTCTCGGGGGCTGCTCAGATGTTATCCGGATGTTCCCCTTAGATGTTCCTGGTGCATGTTGTCTCTCTCCTCCTTTATAGTCCTCTTCCACCAATCCCAACTCTGCTACCCACACGCCGAGTACGCTGCTCTCCTCCAATCAGGAGCAGGATCAGCTCCTGCAGGTTACTGGTCGAACTGGAGGCAGCTGTGTAAAAGTTGTTTACTCCTCTCCCAGCGCCATATTGTGGGAGAGCAGATGCATAGAATAAGTCTTAATTCCAGTAACTTAGTCTAGTCCGAGTTGCTCCCCACAGTCTATATGTAAATTCCCCATGGAAACCTGATCTGAATGAATTTTATAGGACAAAGTGAGAACTGGGGCTTACCAGTGAGAGATTCCATGAGGTTGATGTGCCACCATTTAACCCAAAACATTTAGGCTTCTCAGTTTGCTGGGCAGTTAAGTGTTACCAAGTCAAACTCTTAGACTCAGGATTTATTGTAGCAATAGTGTTTCAGAACTCAACTTGGGAGAGAGAATCTGTATTTAGGGCAGAAGACTATTGAGTTATGAAATAGCTAAGTGGCTGGGGCCCGTGCTGTGGCATAGTGGGTAGAGCTACTGCCTGCAGTACCAGCATCCCACATGGGCACTGGTTTGAGCCCTGAGGGCTCCTCTTCCAATCCAGCTCTCTGCTATGGCCTGAGAAAGCAATAGAAGATGGCCCATGTGCTTGGGCCCCTGAACCCACATGGGAGACCCAGAAGAAGCTCCTGGCTCCTGGCTTCGCATCGGCCCAGCTCCAGCCATTGGTCATTTGGGGAGTGAACCAACGGATGGAAAACTTTCTTTCTCTCTCTCTGCCTCTCTGTAATGCTGCCTTTCAAATAAATAAATAAATAAATAAATAAATAAATAAATAAATAAATCTTTTTTTAAAAAAAGAAATAACAAAGTCGAAATTGATTTTAAAGACAGTTGAAAGATGGTAAAGGCAAAAAAAAGGTGAATTTATTTTCTCTTTCTGAGTAATTTGCTTGAATTTATACATTAAGTTCCTTGATACCTTCCAAATTTGAGTAACTCTTTGTGTAACTATAAAAGAAAAATAAGAATGCAAAACTCAGGTCTCCCATGGTAACTGAGCCTATCTGCACATTGCTTTCCTTCTTACCACTCAATGGCTGAAACAAACAATGACCATTTAAAAAAATACTAAGTCTCCCATTGAATCAGCTTACATTCTGTGTACAGCACCTTGGAAAAAAGGAAGTAGGTTGCTATTTGAAATGAAATTTGAACTTCCCTCTA